AATTAAGTCAAAGCTCGTGCTTCGCACGATTTTCTTAAAACGTATTCGTTGCCTCCCGGGGTGCTAGGAGCGTTGCAAGAATCGTTTCCCAGGATACGAGAACAAAGGCAGAACACAAAGGAAGTTTCGGAAGTAGCCGAGAGGTTTTTAGCTATGAAATACGTGAAGGAAGTGTACTCTGCGTTGTGTTTGTTGCAAACCACCTGCATCTATTTATAGGGAAGATTTAGGAGTTGTGTTAATGTCGGGTTAATGGATATGAACGTTGGTAATCAATGTCCAACTTGATCGTTGGCATTGATTCTCGTCCAGAAAAACGTCTATTTAATTGCAATAAGTCACAAGAACGTTGGGCATTTTATGTGTTGTATGTTGCGCAGGGAACTGCTGAGCCTACTGCGGACGTAGCAGTAGCCTGCTCCAACCTAGAGCAAAAAATAGGAAATTAACGTTTATCTCTAGAAACTCATCTTTTCCTAATTTTCTCCATTTCAACGAGTGAACTTCGAGAATCAATTTCTCATTCACCCATTATCCGTTTTGAGCGTACCATATGTCGAATTATAGCCCTAAGCAAGGACAATCCGAAACCACTTTGACCCGACCAAAATCGGAAGTGGACCTCAATCAAAAAATTGCCCCAAAATGACCATTTAATGCAATTTCTTAACACATTTTCCAACAGATAATAGTAAAACATATATGCACTAGACGTTTAAGGTTTACCAGACCAGACTTGAACATGTTAATTAGAACACACTAAACTTAAACAAACCATACCAAACCAAAACAGCCTATTAAACAATATCCTAATTAAAAGTAATACGAAGTACAACATAATTACTACATTCTGTGGTTGAGATTTGTATAAAGAAGAGAAAAATAAATTTTACCAATACTACTATAAATGGGAAATAAAATTGGACTACTAATCAACAAAAAATTTGGACAAAAGACACACTACACATTGCACTATCATGCATGTTTTTACATTATTGCCGCGTACAATTTATTCTTACACCTATATTTGTTTTTTTTACGGTAAACTCTAGCTTCACATACGATCTATATTTCATTTTTGCCTTAAACTAGCTTATGTAAATAGAGTTACAAAATAGGGGTTTGTCCATAGATAATCTAAAAAAGTGCTATGGACATATATTGGATCACTTTTAAAAAATTCCAAAAATGTGACTAAACTACTACAATTGATCATGACCAACCTCACTAGTGACTAATTCGGCCATTGACCAACCTGAACAATGACCAATCCGACCATGACCAATCCAATCGTGAACAAACCGACCGTGACCAATCCGACTGTGACCAATCCGACCATGACCAAACCGACCGTGACCAATCCGATCGTGACCAATCCGACCGTGACCAAACTGACTGTGACCAATCCGACCGTGACCAATCTGACCGTGACCAATCCGACCGTGACCAATCTGACCGTGACCAATCCGACTGTGGCCAATTCGATCATGACCAATCCGATCGTGACCAAATCGACCAATGACCAACCCAATTAATGATCACGATCATTTCCACACCAACGCCGACACGGCCGCCCCAACCACCGTTGCCCCGACCACCACAATCCTCGAACACCGCCGCCCCGACCACCGTATCCGACCGACGGGGATTGCCGCTGCCACCCGGCTGTGACAGCCACCACCCATCACCAACCAGCCCCCCATCAGCCCCCTCCAACACCCTCCCCCAGCCTCCGGCAACCCACAGCCCCCTCCACCACCCTAACCCTGACCCCTGCAGCCCTCCAGCACCTTCCCCCAGCCCCCCCTTAAACCCCCGCACCCAATAGCCCCCATCCAGCACCCTACCCAAGCAACCAGTGGCCCCCAACCCCCCTCAAGCACCCTTCCCAAGCCCCCAACAGCCCCTTCCCCTCAAGCAGCCTCCCCCAGCCCCCGGCCCCTCCCTGACCAACCCGCTTCTCAGTCTCCTCCCCAAATTCCCGATCCCTTGTCCCCAAATTCTCAGCCTCCTCCTCAAATCCCTATATCGTGGATGATAGATTTGTCCACAGGCTACCAAATCCTCAGATCGTGGATGAAGTTATCAGATTGACGCCGGCCGTCGACATTGTTGGCGGTCGCGTCGCTGGTGGTCACTGTCTCCGATGTCGGAAGTGGTCTCCACTCTCAAATGGCGATGGAGGGATTTGTCCGACTCTTGGAAAGTTGGTCCGCCACTTCTGTATGTTATGTCCTTTTTCTGTCCAATTGAAAATTTGTCCTACTTTTGGAAAATGAAAAGTTCTTATTTCAGTCTTTATTTCTACAAAATATATTGTCTTCTACTGTCTGTTTTTTCTATATAAAAAACTATGCATGTGTAACATGATATGTAACATACATAAATTTGAAACATGCTCTTATGTTATTCTAGGTATTCCTAGTGGCATGTGCATCGCATGGGTATATGCTACAATGTCTATTTATGAGTAATTATTAAATATGATGGGAAAAAATTGATATAAAACACATACCGTACATGCAAAATATCATTAGTTTAGGAATAAAAAGATGTTGGTCATATTTAGGGAATCACAATTTCTTTTAATCATACTCGTAGTAATTATCTCATTAATTTTGTGTGTCTCTAGAATGAACATTTGTGTAGCATTTAGTATTATTATTAATATTTCAAATACTTCGCTTATTTAGTATTATTACGGAGTATTATTTAGTATTATTATTATTTGGTATATCAAATACTTCGCTTTTTACAATATTGTTTGTTTAAAAATATGTAATTTGAATACACATATTTACTGATATGTTGTTCAAATTAAAAAAAAAATGGAGCTCTTTAACAATTGACAATAGTATTAAATATTTATTAGGTACTTCCCTCAAGGAATAGACATTTATTTTGAGAATGTTGGAGGAAAGGCGTTGGATGCAGTGCTTTTGAACATGAATACTCACGGACGGATAGTAGTGTGTGGTATGATTTCACAGTACAATATTCAAGCAGAGGGAACTGAAGGCGTTCATAATTTAATGACGCTCATCAGTAAAAGGATTCGTATGGAAGGATTTCTGGTTCCTGATTATTATCATCTTTACTCTGAATTTCTTAAGACTGTCCTTTCATATATTAAGGAAGGGAAGATTGTGTATGTGGAAGACATTGAGGAAGGTATTGAAAGTGCTCCTAATGCTCTCATTAATATTTTTACGGGTGCTAATGTTGGGAAGAAGTTGGTGCTTGTTTCACGCGAATAACTGCTTCCTTATTTCAATTAACTCACCTATCTTTATTATCAATAGTAACAATGTAATTGGCATTCACTAATCACTGCATGTTCACTTTGAGAAACTAGTCTCATTGAAAATAAAATTCCATGTATCTTCATGTTATATGTAATTATGTAAGGATTGAATTATTGTTGAATTGGAATACAGATATATGTGTCATCTGCAATCCGCATATATGATATATGTAATTTCATATTAACTTGTCATCCACAAATATGCAATGTATTCCTGATGCATTAGACGCTTCATCTATTTCACGAGTAAATAGCAAATCCTAGTATTTAGTAGCGGATCTAGAGTTTCAAGAGGGTATACCCGATTAGAAACCTTATTCTAAATTTACAAATTGTGTAAATAAATCATAAAAGAGGTTCTTAATTTCACTTCCGTCCCAAAAAGAGTTGTAAATTTGACTTTTTAGTCAAAAAGTCTTGTTTTGTTCACTTAATTAGGATGTCAATTTTTAATTATATTTTAATTTGGAGTTTACAACTTTGAAAAGATTTTAATGTAGTTTTTGAATATGTAAATTTTAATTATTAAAAATTGAATTAATTATCCATAGGGAGGGTTGACTTTTATTATTGGTTGACTAAAAAATGTTGACTTTGCAAAACAAATTAGGACGGAAGGAATATATTATTAGTTACACTTGATGTAGTGATATATACGGAGTATATTACATATTTACATGCACGCAGAGACAATATTTCTCCCTTCTATAATTGTACCTAATTAGCTACAACTTACAACAATTTACCTTGCACACTTGAAATTGGATATCCTTGATCATTTAGGATGTTTTTACTTGGACTGTAATTTGCTGGTCTGGTCTGGTCTGAACTGGTCTGGTCTGGTCTGGTAAGGTCTGGTTTCTTTATATTTTTATAACTATCCAAGTCTGGTCTGGTCTGAACTGGTCTGATCTGGTCTGGGACAAATTACAGTCCAAGTAAAAACATCCTTAATGTATACGGAGTATATAATTTGATAAATATTATTTATTATTACATAAATTAATTAAAAATAAAAACTTACACAGAAACAATCAAGTTAAATCTAAAAATGTCTTTCATAATATAATTTGTTACTCTATAATACATTACCTAATAAAATGAAGTTACTAAAAATCAAATGTTTTTTTCCTTCACTTTCTTAATTTATAGGTAGTATATTATACTTCGTATTATAGTAGAGTAGTCTTCCTGTCCAGCCGGCCTGACGGGGACCGCCGTCCGGCCGAGGGCATTTCGGGCACTTTCCAGTGGAATTTCTTGATGAAATTAACTGCGCAGTTTATATGTGTGAACTGCCCAGTTAACTTCAACAAATTATTTGAGTGTCTTCCCGATTGAACTTTTAGCTGAAATTTGGTATGGATAAACTAGACTTCATGAGAACATGTTAAAAAAAATTCATCAAAAAATTCCACCCGGAAGTGCCTGAAATGACCTCGGCCGGACGGCGGTTCCCGTCAGGCCGGCTGGACATGAAAAGTTGTCTATTATAGTATATGTTATGTTAAATTCCAAACATCATTAATTGCATTGGATGAATTTTGAACATATAACATCCTGTTTGGGAGTGTCTGATCGAGACATCGAGTAATGGATCAAACCACAAGTTACTTATCACTGTAAAAATCAGATGTCGTAAGTAATAAAAGAAGGGAACGAAGTAGATTTAAAAGACACGAAATATTATTTGCAAAAAAAAAGACACGAAATATTATATTCAAAACATAAAAAGTTGGAACTTAATATAACAAGCTAATCCAGAATTAGAGTTCAGTATCATAGACGGGCATGCATGGGATTCCTCAAAGCTCGACGACATTCACGCAAAATTATTCAAAAGATAAATGATCCATTACAAAACATACACCAGAAATTAAATTCTTCATAATTAAACCACATTCAAATTGAAACAAATAATTAACTCTACGGAATGATTACTTTGCCTATCCCGCCGCCAATCCCTCCTCCAATTCCACAGCCGCCGAGCCCACCTGCGCCACCAATCCCACCGCCAGCACCGCCTATCCCGCCCAGCCCGCTTGCGCCACCGATCTCGCCCAGCCCGCTTGCGCCACCGATCCCGCCACCCGCGCCGCCAAGCCCTCCGACACCGCCAAGGCCACTAGCACCGCCAATTCCCCCGCCGGCCACCCCACCAAGAGTCGGAAGCACATACCCGACCCCCGCCCAGCCACCCATGCCGCCAACTATAAGGTTCTTTTTGTCATCGACGCCACCGCTGGGCGCGGGTGCAGGTACGGCGTTCTTCGGGGTTATGGTTAGATCCTGGGTGTCGCCGCCGGCCGGAACTTTGCGGGCGGCGGAGTGCACCATTAGTAGTGCTGCGACCACAAGCATTACGAAAAATAGTTTTGCCATTTTTTCTACCCTCTCTCACTCACTATCCCTAATAAACTATATATGCTTCTTACTAAGCTGATGAGTTTCTTCTTGCAGAAATTGATAGGAGAAATGTGGGTATTTATACGGGTACGTATTTTGCATGGGAATTAAGGGTAGGGATCGAACAGTTGGGGAAATTGAAGGTAGTAAATGCGAGTGCGACCATATTAAACTAACCCTAACAATTCTCGAGAGTGACATTACAGTTTTGCATGGCTCAGAGTTAGGTGAATCAAAAGGTGAGATTCATTAAGGGTCCTGTTACTTGTGACCACATTAGTTTAATTTTCGAAAGAATTTTTAACCCAGTAAAAACATCAACAAATCAAGTGTAGCGCACATATATTATAGCAAGCACGGTATGTATTCTTAGACAGAAGATTTTTTTTCAATTACAGAAATTATCTAAATAGAATTAAAACCTAATTTGAAATTCAAAATGTGAGTACTTTTCACTTCATTTTTCTTAATTGAATAGGAGTAAACGGTCATGGTTGGAACATACTCGCGGTTAGGAAATTAATATTGTCATCTTAATTTTAGGATCACTGTAATTTACTTATCTTTTGAGATAAAAACATAATACTCATATTTTTAATTTTACATTTTTCTTACTCGATCTCAAAACATAGCAGAATTTTAATGATAGCACATATTACAGATTACAACATTATATTTCTAAGAGTAAGAGTATCTTACCATGGTTGTTTATCTTAAAAATATGAGTTCATTAGTTTAATGGGGTAAAATATTATCTAAAGTGCGACTAATTTGTGAAAATCTAAAACCTTGAAGGGCTATTAATATCTTAAAAACATGACTACACCCATTTTTAAATAAATCAACTGCAAAAAAATGTGTAGTTATTTTTGAAAAAATCACTAAGCCAGGAATGAAATTTAATGGATAAAAGTAAGCATTGATGATTTTTTTTGTTTAGGTAAAGATGGTTGAGAAGATTAATTACATTTAAATTCAATTGAGAGTTACAAAAGATGTTCTTTTCCGAGGAAGCGGTCCAGCCCAGCTGGTCGCCGACTCACTCTCCTTTACAGGGGGTCTCGGGTTCGAAACTCAATGGAGTGAGTTTCAGCCTAGATTACTCCAGGCTTCCCGGCCCCCCTCCCCCAGAAGCCCCCTGGAGTAAAAAAAAAAGATGTTCTTTTCCTTAGAAAATAAGCCTGATAATCCGAAAAACAGGGTTACCAAACATGTTCTAAATATTTTGTATGATGATAAATAATCCAAGATCACAAAATAGTGAATTGAGTTTTATTAAATTTAAATAAAACCAACAAATGTTGTTTCAAAAAAAGTAATAATGTGTCCGAAATTTCGTAACATTATAATTAGGGAAAAGTGTCAAATATGCCCCCATACTACACTGAAAAGTCAATTAGATCCCCGAATTAAAAAAAAAGACCAATGAAACACCCGAACTATGAATAAAAGTTCAAATCGGCTTTTTAATAGATAACCAACCAGTTATCAAGTAAATTTTCACACGTGGCGACACACGGCGACACGTGGCGACACGTTGCGACATGTGTATTTTTTGTTTTTTTTTTTCTTTCCTTTCTTTTTTTTTTCTTTTCCTTTTACCTTCTTCCTCTTCCCAGGTTCGTGACTTCTCTGGTTCTTCTTCCTCCCTTACCTTGTGCCATTAACTTCAATCACAAAAGTGTAGATACCATCATTTCGCCCTGGATTTTTCTACTCCAACGCCGTCGTAACAGAAGGGGACGAAATCTAGGGGCGGATCGTAGTGCAGACCCAGGAGGGCAACCGCCCCCCAACAAAAAAATCTAGGGTATGTATATATATATGAAAAATAATTTCCACCCCCTCAAAAAATAATTTTCGCCCCCCAAAAAATATTTTGAACAGACGGATTTCCTGGGTCCGCCCCTGACGAAATCGAGCTGGATCCCAATTTAGTCCCATCGATCTATAGCTTCTATGAGACTAGGAGTTTGATAACTTTGATTCCATTTTGAAGATCTTAAATTTAATACTAAGGATGGCAATGGGGGTGGGGGCCCGTGGGGAACCGCCTCATGGGGTGAGGATGGGGTGGGGTTTGGGGCGGGGTGGGGACGGGGATGGGGATGGGTGAGATATTTATACCCCGTTAAAATATGGGGCGGGGGCGGGGATTGCTACACCCGCCCCCGCCCAGTCCCCGTTATATATATATAAACTCAAACATACATATATATATACAAACATACATACACATATAAATAATGTATAACCTTATTTAAGTAAATTATAGAGTATGTAGTACGAGGTATATAACAAGCACAGCATATACATATAGACATATATAATAGAGTAGTTTTATAATTATTTATTATTGTGGACTCTCTTTGTAATTATGACATTTATTCTCTATATATATATCTGCCAGGGCTACCGTTGTGGTAAGCCTAGTTATTACTTTCACATGGTATCAAGAGCCATTCTCTCCTAACCCTATTTTTTTTTTTTTCGACCGAATGACGTCTCCTACATTCTCAGCCTCGATCGACTCTTCTACGGAGGCTGTTCTTTCCGTCACTGGTACGGCGACCATGTCTGCGCCGGTGTCACATACCGTTGCTGCGACCACTCCTTCAGGCGTCCACCATGTTCTCGCCGGCGAATCGTCATCTACGACTTCCCTCTTCACCACGCCGGCAATTTCTGAGATTACATCTTCTGGGCCGGTAATATCCACCATGTCTTCCTCGGCTAATTTATGGGTACCGCCGGTTTTTAACTGGTCTCCTACCAGACCGGCGGTTCATCTCCCGCAGCCAACTTCATCCTTTGTTCATTCACCGACGCCGTCTTTCTTCTCCAGCGGTGGTGGGCCTCCGATTTTGGAGCACTCTGGTTCAAGTTACTCTGGCCCAACTTTTGTAGGAGCTCCTGGCATCGGTCTTCTGCCTTCTACCTCATCCCTTGGACCGATTGGGTCCAGGCCTGCTACTGTGACGTCCTCAGGTTCATCTCTATCTGAATTAGTTAAGAATATTGGTGTTTCTGCATTGAATATCACAAATATTGTTACCACAAAGCTTGTTGCTGTCGAAGATTACTTAACATGGCGTACGCAGTTTGAATCTTTTCTGGTGTCGAATGGTTTTTTGGGTATTTTAGATGGTTCTATTCCTGCTCCTTCCCCATATATTTATGATGCATATCACCTTGAGACCATAAACCCAGATTATTCTCATTGGCTAAAATTGGATCAAATTGTGCGTTCTTGGTTATTTGCTACATTATCTCGTGATATTTTGATTGAGGTGCGTGAACTCAAGAATGCTTTTGCTATTTGGAATCGATTGGAAGCACATTTTATGTCCGCTAGTCTTTCTCGTTCTATGGAACTGAAACGTCAACTCACGCATTCTAAAAAGCGTTCCAATCAGTCCATGGAACATTATCTTCGAGATATTAAAGATATTGCTGATCGACTTGCTGCGATTAATGCTCCTGTTTCTAAGCGTGAATTGTTTCAGTATATTTTACTTGGACTTGGTCGGGACTATGAGTCTCTCATCACATCTGTCGACTTATTTCCGGAAAGCTTTACGTTTGAGAATCTCCGTATCAAGTTGATCGAGAAAGAGCAGACTATTCAATATATGAATGCTCAGGAGGAGGCCCCTGCACATGCCTTTGTTGGGCAGGCTCAGTCGGCTTCACACTCGCAGCAAGGACACGGGCAGCCGCAGCAGGGCGGTGGTCCACAACAGGCCGGTGGACAGCAGCCGCAGGCAGGAGGTGTCCCCGCTCGGGGCAGGGGCTATCGTGGTGGCCGTGGTCAACGTGGCCGTGGTGGCCGTGGTCAGCGTGGTCGTGGTGGATATGGCTATGCTCCTCAGTTTGGTTATGGTTATCCTCCACCGGCTTACTTTCCAGGGGGTGCACCGCATGCAGGCATTCTTGGGACTCCAGGTTCAGCAGGTATGTCTGTTCAGTCAAAATTTCATACGTATGCCTTATCTACTATCTTTACTAACCATGGCTATGCAGGCTCCTCTTCAGCTGAGGGAAATTCAGTTCCTCCTCCCGTTATTTGTCAAATTTGCTATGCTCCAGGTCATTCCGCTTCCACATGTCCCTCTCGTTTTGTTCCGCCGACCTCACCTGCTCTAACTGCTCATGCTCCTGATGCTTCTAATCTGGTTTGGTATCCTGATTCTGGTGCCGCCGCACATATGACTCCTCATTCAGGTATTTTGACAAATAAATCCTTTTCTCCTGATTCTCATTCTATAATTGTAGCAAATGGCATTACTCTCCCAGTTATGCAATCTGGTCAGGTGTCGTTATCTTCTTCCCCGCGGCCCCTCAACTTAAGATCTGTTTTACATGTTCCTCAAATTAAATATAATCTTTTATCCATTCAAAAATTATGTGCTGATAACATCTGTGTTGTGATTTTTGATAAAAATAATTTTTTTGTTAAGGATTTAACAACGGGGGTGGTTCTTCTTCAAGCTCCCAGTGATAACGGCGTTTATCCCATCCGTCAGCCTGCATCTTCACCAGTGGCCCTTTCTGCTGCATCTCTCACCATATGGCATAATAGATTAGGACATTGTGGTTCGCGTGTACTAGATCAGCTTAAACTAAGTCATTCTGTTTCTGGTACTTCTGCTAGTATTTCTGATTGTATCCCCTGTCGTTTGGGAAAATCACAACGTTTACCCTTTAATAAAGTTTTTCATCACAGTCCCCATGCCTTATATTTAATTCATTCAGATGTCTGGCAGTCCCCTGTCTTGTCTCATTTAGGCTTTAAATATTATGTCTGTTTTGTTGATGATTTCTCTCGTTTTACTTGGGTGTATCCCATGCGGCGTAAGTCTGAGGTTACTACTCATTTTCATCATTTTAAATTAATGATTGAAAATCTACTTGACCGCAAAATCAAGATTTTTCAGAGTGATGGAGGGGGTGAATTTGATAATATGAACTTGAGAAAATTTTTTACTGATCATGGAATTATTTTTCAAAAATCTTGTCCTGAAACTCCACAACAAAATGGAGTGG